CCTTTACTCTGATTGCTCGTATCCACCCTCTCATCCATCCTGGCTCTCCTCCCGTCCATTAGCTACAGCGATGGACGGAGGCATCAGGTGTCTCCGGTGAGAGATAATCGTGCAACGCTTTGCTCCTAATTTGTTTCCGATAAAGGTGAAAGGAAACCGGCTAGCTTTGTGGAATTACACATAGATTATTTTTTTCTTTCTTTGTTTGATGAAGGAAACAGTTTAAAGGTATAAAATGATGAGAACTGGGCTTGTTTCCAGATCGATGCGTTAAAGTGAATAAGAACAGAGCTGCTCAAATAACTGAAAGTACAGAAGAAAAAATGCTCCCTCGCACTAGAAACGTGCTTCACTGTGTTTCCTGAGGCTGTTTTCTTACTATCAAGGACTTTTATTATAAGCCGGCTAATCGCGTGTGTCAAACGGAAGAAAGACGCCTTTCATGCTGGACAATGGGGATTTTACGGCAGCCTCTGTGGCGTGTTGGCCACAGGAGCTACCCCACAGCGGCCGCTTTTTTCCTGTTTAGTCCCATCAAGCCGTCCTCCTCTTTCATTCTAAATGCATCGAAACACCCGGCGACACTTTGAGTTATTAACCACCTTTAGCCTGAAGACACAGAAATGGGGACAGTAAGACATTTGGACCTTTTTTTTCCTCCTCTCCATGTTGAAAAGCGTCCATCTTTTATTTCTTCCTCCCCGGCTGAACTAAAAACGTTAACGCTGGATAGTTTGGCTGTCGGATCGCACCTCGCTTTAACAGCTCTCGATTTTGGTGAATTATGTCCCCTCGTCTTTGTGCGTTTCATCTCCATCACCATTTTCATTAATAATTAATGCACTAAATGAGCATTTTGAGAGTTGGCTTTCCCGATGCCACCGAATATATTAATTATAGCTCCCTGAAGGCACAAGCTGAGCCCATTTATCTCCAATCTCATAAAAATGATTTAAGAGACGAAGGTTAAACAGCTTATTTGGCCGTTTATTTTTAGCTATGTGGCGTTCTAGTAAAGAAAACAGAATGAATTTGCGCTCCTGCCCATATAAAGGGAGTTTTTTTCTATGCTGGGTATCTTCAGAGCGGTGGAGGTATGCCCATTAATGGCCTGCTCCGATGCCCATGGGAAGAAACATTAGACAAAGAGCTTTCCGGAAACAGTGAGCGGGCTACCCCGGTGTCTCTGCGGGCAATCTAAAAATACCACCGTGCTTCTTTCAGATATTGAATCTGGGTGATGACATATTGTTGGCAGACCTTCGATCACTTTCTCCAAACTCCCACCAGACTTGATTTTCTTTGCACATGCCGTCACAAATGGAAATCTTTACATGGCTTTCTTTTCAGCGGTTTTAATTTATCACCGGCTCTGGAGTATGATTATTTTCTCACTTCACAGTGAACAGGTTCAACAACAAGGATCCGGTGAGGACGCCTGAGTTTTACAAAGAAGCTCGCTGCCAGTTAAATCTACAGTTTCCGTTGGAGCGTTTCATATTTTCCTCTCCACATATTGTTGACGTGGGTGTCGCTCTACTTCCTGTTTACTTCTCGAGTGCCCTTCAGTTTGCAGCCGCGCAAAGCATCTGTTACTTAAAACAAATCCTGGAGCTTCACTCGTGTGTGATTTATTTCTGGGCAGATGCCCAGCGTGTGCATTCTTCGGTGAGGATGGTTTGGCTATTTTTATGTCGTTTTCCTTCAGGCTTTGGAGGATTTTTTAAAAACGGGTTTCGGTCTGGTCACACGGCTCTGTTCCCCCTCATAGCTTCATCTCACATTCATTGAGAAGTTGTAAGGGGGGAAAATGCTGATGACATGTCCTTGGTTTTCAATCTCCTTTCTAATATCCAGCCCCATCTCCCATGTGCTCACGCCGCTTAGTCTCTGCACCCAAAAGCCAATCAATCTGCAGCTTTCGATGGCCTCTTTACACGGGATCATGCAGTCATCGGATCTGGCTATTTTCTGCTGCGTTCACATTACGGGTGGAGCTGTTTGGGGGTACAGAGGTTAGCGCTCACATGATTATTCCTCAGATAAGGAGATAACGGGGGCATTTCTCATGGAAATGCTCCTGAACCGACTCCGTCTTGAGGTCTCGGTTACATCAAGGAACGAGCAAAGTAAAGCGTTTTGATTTGATTGCACACAAAGCTTATCATGCATTTGACAAGCGTTTCGCTGCACTACAGGAGAAACGGGTTATTTTCAGTGTCCCGTTTCTGCTTCCTGACGTTAGAATGAAAGGGACCGTTTTTTGAGGAGACTTTGATGTGAAGAACAGACACGGTGCTGGCTTTGTGCTGAGCAAGATCACACGTCTTTGTTTTGGTGTTACACATATTTTTAGACGTATTAAGTTTCCGACATAATGCAATCTTTTCCCAGTCTCTGGATTGGCCACAGTTATTAGCTGCAGTATGAAACGCATACAGGAGGCTCAGAAACAGTAGCCGTCATGCCGCATAAGTAAACAAGCCTTTTATTAAATAATCCAAGACTTTGCTCATATAAAAACAAACCTCAACAAGGATAAAGCGGCAGTTTCTGACTTCCCTCCACTTCTCAGTCCCGCACTGTGACAAGCAAACAAATAGCGACGGATTGATGAACGAGATCCAGACGCGCTGCGGAGGAATCGAGGACGGCAGCCAGAGGTAGAAGATGGAGTAACGGGAGGTAGAAAAGATTTCGTGGGGCTTCTCTTGTTAGTGGCCACATGATCCCCTCCGGTCCTCTGGGAGTCGGTGTACGGGCCGGCGGTTTGCGGGAGGAATGTGCTCCCGGCTGGAAAAGACTTGCAGTGCACAGAGAGGTTCCTCCCTGCTGCCAGCTCTGCTGAGGAATGGGCCCGACCAGCAGCAGAAACTCAATCTTCCTCTCCAGCTGGCCTCCTAGCTGCTAGAGGTTTGATGATGATGATGATGATGGACCCGCAGTGGATTAATGATTTGCCTCAGATTGGAGGGACGGTCCATGACTAGTTGGACGATAATGCAAACGTGTTAATTCAGCTGCGGGTGCATCTCATTTATCCTGGTGGGTTCAGAGGTTACACTCCCTCCTTCCCTCCACATTCCTCGATCCCTCGCTTGTGGACCACACCGAGCTCGGCGCTCCTTCGCCTCTGCAGCGTATAAGACGGAGCCGGTGTGAGAGGTGAACCTTGTGCTGTGAGTGCAGCAGGCTTTTGTCTGCTTCGGACTGGATTTTGTCTGCGCATCGCTGCCAGAAAAGCTCTGGTGTGGTTTTGAGGCAATATATAATGTATCTGGCCTCGCTGGCTCCACCGCACTGTGCAATGGAAAAAGAGCGCACTTGTCTCCAAAATGGCTTTGAGATGTAATTGAACCATAATGCCTCTTATGTGAGCATCTTGCGGTGGAATGAAGATCTCACTTGACAAATGGGCCAGAGAAAATAAACTGGCATATCTGAGTCATGAAGTGGAGCGCTGGGCTACCGACTCGGTGAGCCCGCCGCCCGCTGGAGGGTTACAGCTTCCGTCAGTCTGGCTGCAGAAGGTAGAGAAACCCAATCGCCTCTCGCGCCGACATCCGAGGCATTTCTATTATATCCCCGCTGATTATTTGTGCGCCTCTTCCAGCATCCTGAGGCCTGCTGGTATTTATTTCCCTTAAATCCATCATAAGAGGAGAATTTTCTACTCAAACTTTTCATTGGTTTCATTTTGTGATTTGATGAATGCCGCAATCCCCGCTGCACCACGCCGAGCCTCCCACGAGCCTCCTGCTATTGAAAGGCGGCGGTCGTTCAGGGGGCTTTTTGCCAAAGTAAAATGTTCTGCTTCAGGGCTTCAGACCAGCCGAGGAGGCAGTTTATTACCTTCTCGATTTATTCGCTTCTGTCACATTTCTGTTTATTTTTATTACAGATGAGATGCCTCGTGTCGTGAGGCTTCCTCCCACCTTCCTCTCCTCCCATCTCTCTTTGAGCTAATTATGTGTGCTAATTGTGACTACCACGAGGACAGATTACAACCTGCTGCACTTGGCTTGTTATCACTTGTCATGTACCATCTATCACACTCGCAATTAAACAACACCTCGGTTCTGCTTTTCCAACCAGCGTCTCTCTGGGGAAGCGTGTTATGTTGCACATCATCTCAGAGAACGCCTGTTTCTTTGTCCAACACCCTGGATAGTGACAGAAAAGAAAGCAACAACGGTTAACATGTATGTGAGGACTCCTGCAGGGAGAAACGTGCCTTCCCTTCCCCTCTTCCGTGACCCCCGCTGACCGCCACCCCCCGCCGCTGACATCCCAGCTTGGGGCTGATGTAGCAGCGTTGGGTTGGGTCATGCAGGTTCATCCCTGACAGAGAAAAAGTCAAACTGGTTCCGTACTTGCTGCCCATGCTTCCCAGAGAGGCTGAAATTAAACGTTATTTTTCTGTTATCTCCATTAAACACGGACTTATCTCCCCGTTTAGCTGCTGCGTTTATTGTCATCCTGGGCCACCTTCCCTCTAAACTGCGTTTGGCCAGTAATTCCCTTTACTGCGTGCTTGTATTTGTGGCTATGGGTGTGGTGCTCTTGCTTAATCCCCAAGTCCACAGCTCTTAGAGCTGTGGCTGTGGTGGCACCCTCTGATTTTCTCTTTGTGAATGCCACACGACCGCACTCTCAGGGCAAAGCTGTAAGCAAGTGCAAAGTTTCATTTCATTGCAACCCATATTTTATGCTTAGTCTGCACGGGTAAAGAATAGCTGTGCATCCTCCTCAGAGAGTCTGCTGTGCTTCGCCAGCAGCAGGACTGTGTGTCGTAAACAATGTTTTCAGATGCAGCACTTTTATTGAATGTGGCAGGACGGTAAAGTGGTCCGGCACTGGAGCAGCGTGACAGTAATTGAATTGAGGAAGTGTCAGCATTCAGCACTGCATTAAAAATGTATTTGTCCATCCACAGCAGCCCACATACATTACAGGGTTTTGTTTTTCTACATTTCTAACCTTTCCTGTTCTCTTTACAGCCGTGCAATCAAGACCAATCAGGACCTGCTTCCAGAGACCCCCTGGACCAACATCTTCTACGATGACTTCTGGGGCACCTTGCTCACACACAGCGGCAGCCATAAGTCCTACCGACCCCTCTGCACCCTCTCCTTCCGCCTGAACCATGCTGTGGGTGGGCTGGAGCCGTGGGGTTACCACCTGGTGAACGTGGCCTTCCACGGGGCTGTGACCGGCCTGTTCACCTCCCTGGCTCGCCTGCTGCTCGGAGGAGGACTGTGGAGCCTACTGGCCGGCCTGCTCTTCGCCTCCCACCCCATCCACACCGAGGCGGTGGCGGGCGTTGTCGGGCGGGCCGATGAAGGCGCTGCCCTGTTCTTCCTGCTGTCCCTGCTGTGCTACATACGCCACTGCAGGCTGCGGGGCCACGCCGAGTCGTGGCGGCTCGCGGCCTGGTTCGTCGGCAGCTTGGGCTGCGCCGCTTGCAGCATGCTGTGGAAGGAGCTGGGCGTGACGGTCCTGGCCGTATCAGCGCTGTATGATGTCTGCGTTTTCCACAAGCTCAAGTTGCGACAGGTCATCGCGCTGCTTTACAAGGTAAACACTCGGCTCTCGTCCCGTCCTGCTGCTTTTTCACGTGTATCCGATTTCCTGCATCCGTTCCACGACTCAGGAATCTGGCAGGTTTTGGAAAGCTGATATATGTCGGTTTGTGCGCCTGTGTGCGCGATATGTGTGCGATTTGTTTGCTTTTCATCACAATATAATTTGAAAAACATTTCCCAGCGTGCACAGCTGTGTCATCCGGGTCAGCTTGTTGTGTTTTCCATCATATGCAGCACATGCAGAGAGAGGAAACAGAATCGTTTTACTGTGTCTGTGCACGAGGCTCATCCACGGATGTCAGTGTGTATTTATTGATTCATCGACTGAGGGGCATCCGAGACACAAGTGTCGTTATGGTCCTGAAAACATATGTTGTTAACCTTTTGAACTCGGAGTAGTTTGTACAAGTTTGTTTGCTTCCGTCGCATTTTTATTCACAACTTTCTTTTGCAATATAAAGTCCTGCATCTCTGTAGAAACACACAACTATAGCAAGAAGTGAAGAACCTAAAAATGTCTTCTGTGTAGTAGAGCAAAGTCATAATGCCACAAAATTATTATTATTTATTTAACTGGGAAAAAAAACAACAAAACAGGATCAACATGTGGCTTCACATTCTGTATGTGTTTTACTATCTACAACCCTCTGTCTGCTCTGTGTGAAGAGTTCAGCTCAGTTCAGCCAAAAGTTCCTGAATTTTTCTAACATGACTGTTCGGTGTGGATGCATCACTCTTGGCTTTTCAGTTGCGATGCAGAACACAGAATTTTTTGTTTTTTACAGAATCTGTTTAAAGGAAATGGTTTGTTTTTGGCTAATTTTTTGAATGACACGGGTGGAGTAGAGAGATTTAGATTTTTATTACCGCGTATCACAGATGAGTAGATCAACTAGTGTCAGAAAGTTTAAAATCTACTGATTCTGTTTTTACAGTGTCTGGCTGATCAGTGGTGCTCCAACTAGTGAATTTTAGGGTTCAGAGGGTTAATAGTTCATTCTTATGAGCTAAATCGACTTGGATGCAGAGAAACTACGCTGTCACACATTTTGGGACCTGATTTATGAACTTTATCTCATTAACTGCCAATCTGTGGCTTCATGTAAATCCACTTTAAAAAACGTTCAACAAACATGTTGATGAAAAGATTTAATCAATTAAGCTAAAGTGAGAATAAATAGCTAATTGCTAATCAGCCGATCAGTGTTTACTTTTTAAGATGGATAGCGTCTTTATAAAGCTAAATGACTGTTTGCCACATGTTGTTCGTTAGCGTTGGAACGAATCCTTTCTGTTCACGTGTCTCTGGAAGTTTCCTCTTCCTGTCAGTGTGTTTGCCTGGATGCCCACGAAAGAGAAGAAAATGAGAACGTTTCTCAGAAGAAAATAGCTGATATAACAAAAAGCGATGGCCATTTTATATTTCCTTGTCGCTTGCGAGGCGCCCGGCCATTAAGTCGCCCTTTTTCCCAAACAGCTCCTGTCAGAACTATTTACTGTTTGCTGTCGAGTCGATGTGACGCCGCGAGTCTCTGCCCATCATAACAGATTCAACAGGACGTGTGCACAAACGTGACAAAAGGGCTCCGACGAGACGGCGGCTGTCTGGCAAAAGATAACGCTTTAAAGAAGTGTGCTGTGGCGACGAGGGTCAGGGGTCGGCAGAGGGAACACCTGAGAGGGACGGATTCATCCAGGAGAGGAAATCGTTTAATTGATGAGCAAATCTGTTCTCTGCCTTTTAGTGCTCAGCGCAGTGTGGAAATGAAGAGTGAGGGCGGCTGCCGGCTTCTTCTCCATGCTGTCTTCTCATGATTTAAGCCTTATCTGACTCCTCGTGTCCTCCAGAGTGCGGCCCATCCATTGCCGCGGGCAGACAAGTCCTCTAATGGCTTGTCAGGCATGGCTAGACTAGAGAGGAAACAGGGCCAGAAGGGCTGAGGGGGATGATGCCTCAAAGCTGACAGTTTTTCAACTTTTTGATTGAAAGTCCACAAACCCTGCTGATCCAATTGTCTCCAGAAAAAAAAAATGGACTGGAAGATCATTAGGATTCTGGCACTGAGCAGCTCCTATATATTTCTTTCATGGTTTGCCATCGTGGTGAACTAAATTGGCACGCGTCTCCGGGGGAAGACGTCTTCTGCTGCTTCTGAATTATACAGCGTTTCAGAAGGTGAACACTGTGTTTCCCCCTCATGGTTCGCAGTTGTAATTAATATTGTTAGAATAAACTGCAGTTGTTTGGTGACTTTAGTTCATAAGTTGCAGCTCAGACGTGCTGGAAACGGATTCAAAGTTCAAAAATAGTTGAAAACGTGTCAGAAAAGTCAGCAAGAAGCTACATGATAGCAACAATTAAAGGTGTTTTTTGAGCTAATTTGCAGTTAAAGCTGCATGTTGAGTGTCTGTTGGCAGGTTGTTCATCAGTCTGCTGGTGCGTTTGTTGCTGTAGCCTTCTTAATGCAGGCAGCTCCATCTGAACGCGCTAAACTATTCAGATCAGTGGAAATGAGTCATGAAGCAGGTTCAAGTGTGTTCAAAAAGTGCTGCAATAATCAAGACAAGAGCGTGAATTCAGTTCTTTACTTGTAAAAGTCCACGATATACATGTTTTTATACATGCACTATATTTTTAAAGTTAGAAAAATAATACCTGTGCCCGTAAAACACACATTTGTTGACACTGTTTTGCAAAATTTGTAAAATCTTTTAATATTCAGTTTGTTTTTAACAGCAACTCAACATGATCTTATTTTTAGACTTAGATTTAGACTGACGTTATTAATACCAGACGGATATTCAGGTGTTATAGCAGCACAACCACTCAACTAAGGGGGAAAACAAGGCATTGTTATTGGCCATAAATGCACATTTTGCTCAAAGTTTACAATCATTTCTGTCTGGCTGTAAAATCACACATTTTATAAGATTAAAATCAGCTAAAACTGTTGTTATTTTACAAATATTTGCAGATTTAGGGCTGAAAAAGGCTGAACATTTTTACACTGTTATGTCACAATTTTCCTTTTCTGTTAAATTACAGATAATATTTTGTAAAACTACAGAAAAAAAGTATTAATTTACACATTGACTGTAAAAAACAACAACTTTTCTATTGTTAAATGAGCTAAATATTATTTTATAGCTATATACTGTTATTTTCAGTTTTTTAGATGTTTCAGTGTTTGACTTTTGTCGTTTATTTTTACAGCGTGTGACGACTTTAACAGACAAATGAGTGAAAATAGATGTTTTATTTATTAATGTAATCGCAGCAGAGGAAAAGTAAGAAGACAAATCAGGAAGTGTGTCGGCTGAAAACAAAAGCTGAACAAAAACAACCGACTGTTTTGAGAGAAGACGGTGAAACTGCACATTTTTTTTTCCATACATGGCTTGATTTTATTTTTTTTTCTCCCCCCGACACGCAGCTTCAGCTGACAGCCGTCATTATCGCAGCGTGTCATTTAGTCGCACCGCAGCCGACATAAAAGAAGCACAGAAAGAGAACTGTCATCATGGCTTCAATCACGTTGACTTGGGAGGTTTCTCTCCTGCGCGATCCGTAATGAAACGGCGCTCTGTGATCACGACTGTGTTTGCACGAGTGTTGTGACCCAATCTGTTACCCAAATGGCGAGCGGTCCACGGCTGCAGCGCGTACATTTGTCTCCCTGCGTCTCTGCGGGCCGAGCCAGTCACTGTGAGTGATGGTGGGCGAAGGGGAGTTATTCCTCGGGGCGAGTTGAGCCTTCAACCGCCCGTATGAACATTAAATTGTATACAGTGCTGAAAATGATCACAGTGAAAATAAATACAGTCCCTCCCCCCCCACCGCTCCACCGACTTCCATTCAGGCTGGAGATCTATCAGGTGCAGAAAACTCGCCGCTAACTTCCTCCACTGCAGCAGATAAGAGGGAAACAAGGCATAAAAGCATGAAACAGTAACTGTCACTCCGTCCCGGCTCGTCCATGTCTGAGTGCATGAAACCCATTCTTCAGATGGACTAAAGAGGCCTCGGCTGCTTTCCTGACTGACGGGCCGTAATGGGCCGGCGCTGCCTTTTATCGCCGAGCTCTCCACTCCGCTGCAGTCGTTTGACATTTCGCGTTGGAAATGGTGAAATGGGCCTGCTTATCTGATTGTGGCACGCAGTCAATTACATTAGAGTTTTATATCTGCTGCAAATCTCCCGTTGTGTCATTACGGCTCCTGTGTGCAGTTTGAGGAGAGCCGGCCGTCCACCGTGATCCCGCCCAGGTCCATAACTCATCGCTTTAGCTCTGGCTGCAAGTCGGAGGCGAGCGGTAATGCGCGGGTATTATCCTGACTGATTGTTTACGTGGCCAAATTTGCATAAACAATCTCTGAAGGGGAGAATCCTGCGCCGCAATTAGCCGGCTCTAAAAATACACGTAGTAAATAATGGCTGTTCTTTAAGTAGTTCTGCAAAACTCTGAGGAGTAATTGCACCGACATGAAAACACGCTGTATTTAAATGAGATCAAACAATGCATGAATGGACTTGTTTGTGTCTGTTCGCAGGCTTTTGTCTGCATGCTGTCACTTATAGAGATCCAGTTCCAGCCCGCTGATAAAATCTAACCGTCCCTGGACATTACAGAATCCTTACAGGGATCAGACAAACCTCTCCAATACGTCGGGAACATACGTTTTGACACCTTATGCAATGCTTTTGGTGCAAAAAGCCGAGGACCGCTCCTGCCTGTGTTCGTGTCGGCAGGACGGGAGCTGGTCCAGATGAAGGAAAACAAGAGAACCGCAGGAAAACAATAGCGCTCAGGCAGTAATTGAATAAGCACACGCTGCTGCATCGGCGACGGTGGAGTCAAAGCTCTTGGCATCTTCTGGCATGTGAGCTGCAGGGAAAGCTTTTATTAAGAGATTTGGTGGAACCTTTGGATGCACGCGTGACCTTTCACACGAGTGCACGTCAGGGCATCTATGGAGAAAAAAAAAACACAT